CCATTGTCAAAAAATTGATCGAACGTTGTTTCGACAGAACTTCCTTCGCACCAAAAGTATAATGAAACATATTCAGCATTTTCGAGTTGAGTCTTTTCTTCACACAATTTTGTGATGACCTAATCAACATTCACGATCAACACGTATACCACCTTGGATTGGTGCAGTGTAATACTAAAAATAACTGTATTGTATTCCCAAAATTATCTACGAAAATCGAATGAGCCGTTCCATCAATTATTTGGGGGGAATAAATAAATATTCTTAACAATTTACCATGCTTACAATAACTTTAAAACGTCTCCAAGATCTCAAAGTATTCATTTCTGCAACTCTTGAGTTATTCACTAAAATAAATTGACTGATCCATACATTTTTTTGAGTCACTGTAAAAGCAAATCTAAAAAATATGAATGCAATGATAAATTACGAAAATATACTGATGATATTTTGCACATTTTAGATAGGATTTATTCGGCAAAATCTTGAGATGACGTCATCAAGTTTTTGGGCTTGATAAACAGATATATTTTGATTAAAAACCTACCATGTCATACAGTAACTTCAAAACGTCTGCAATATTTCAAAATTCAGTTTTGCAATCCTTGATTCAATCAATAAAATAAATTGACTCAGTGATTAATTTTTTTGAGACACCCCCTCTAAGCAAAACTAAAAAATATGATTGGAATGATAAATCACAAGTATAGTCCCATTTTATTTTGGACATTTTAGATAGGACTCATTGGGAAAAATTTTGGGCTGACGTCATCAATTTTTTGGAGGAACTAAATATATTTTGAATAAAAATTTATTATGCTTATCATATGTTTAAAACATCTGCAAGATTTCAAAGCATTCGGTTTTGCCAATTCAAAATTAAATTTTAGGTGAAACGAAGTTTACGGGGTCAGCTAGTAATAAATAACTCTATAAAGTTTGGGATCTGTCCTGATAAGTTGAAGTTAACCGAAATATGTAATTCCGGTATACAAATAAGGAGATCCTGCTTTTTTTAGCAACTACAGGCCAATAAGCTTGCTATCTTCCTTTGCAAAAGTTATTGAAAAAATAATGCATGCTAGAATAAAAAATTTCTTTATCAAGAATAAACTATTTAGCCCCGAACAACATGGCTTCCCGGAAGGAAGATCGACGGATACTGCGGTATTCCAGTTTTTGAGGAAAATAATCGACAGCTTAGAAAAAAAAGAAACAATCTTAGGGCTTTTTCTTGACTTATCGAAGGCATTTGATTGCTTAAATTACGACCTTTTTATCTTAAAATTAGAGAAATATCGAGTCAGGGGGCCAGCTCTTGCTTGGGTCAAGTCGTATCTTTCCAATAGATATCATAGGGTTGTTTTAGAAAAAGATAACACAAAACATGTTCCTCGAGCAAAGAAAGTTGTGATGGGAATTCCGCAGAGTAGTATAATTGGACCTTTATTCTTTATAATATGTATATATTAACGATTTGCATAAGGTACAAGATGGTAACAGCTGTGTCGTAAACTTTGCGGATGATACAAATTTGTTGGCCTGTGGAAAATATTTCCCTTGAACGCTAAGAAAAGTAGAAGATCTCATGTGCCGAACAAACATCTGGTTCAATAATAACAAATTAGTACTAAACAAAGACAAAACTGTGGCTGTTACGTTCCAGACTAAGAAAAATTTAGAGCTACCAAATGTAATACAGATTGGTGACAAATGACAATGATATGAGGTTATCAAAATCTACCCGATTTTTGGGAATCGAAATAGACTCGACCTTGAGCTGGAAGGATCATGTAGAATATTTGTCAAAAAAACTTAATACAGTCCACTATTCTATCCGCGTACTAAAAACATACTTAGACAAAAAACAGTTGCTAATGATATATCATGCTAACTTCCATTCTCTTTAAAGATATGGAATAATATTTTGGGGTCAAAGTACAGAAATCAATAGAATATTTATTTTACAAAAAAATATTTTACGAACAATTTACGACTTAAAGTTCAGGGAGTCATGCCGGGGAATTTTTAGGTACAACAATATCCTTACAGTGACAGGACAGTACGTCTACTCGCTATTAGTATTTATGTATCAAAATCAAAATGATTTCGAAATTCCAAAAAAACAACAAAACTATAACACCCGAAACAACAATTTGATGTTTCCAAAGCACAGACTTACGCTGAGCGAAAAAAACTGTTATTATGCGGCAATTAAAATGTATAATCATCTCAGTGACCCAATAAAAAAATTGGTCTAAAGAGTTTTTTCATGCTGTCGAAAACTTGACGACTGCATGCTTATGTATGCAGTAGATTTCAAAGCATTCGGTTTTGTAGTTCCTGAGTAAATCAATAAAATAAATTTACGCATTCATTTTTGTTTTGAGTCACTCGGTATATGCAAATTCAAATAATGTGAATGGAATGATAAATTAGAAGTACAGACTCATCATATTTTGTACATTCTAGATAGGATTTATTCGGCAAACTTTCGAGCTGACGTCATCAATTTTTTGGAGGGGATAAGCAAATATATTTTGACTAAAAATTTATTATGCTCTTTATAACCTTAAAACATCTGCAAGATTTCAAAGCATTCGGTTTTGTAGTTCCTGATTAACTCAATAAAATAAATTCACACATTCATTAATTTTTTTGAGTCATCCTGTATATGCAAATCGAAAAAAATTGAATGCAATGATAAATCGCAAGAAGAGACTCACCATATTTTGTACATTGTAGATAGGATTTATTAAGTAAAATTTTGTGGTACGTCATAAATTTTTTAGAGGGGACGACCAAATGTATTTTGGTCAAAAATTTACCATGCTTATGATAATTTTAAAACATCTTCAAGATTTCAACACATTCGGTTTTGTAGTTCCTGAGTAAATCAGTAAAATAAATTTAAGCATTCATTAATTTTTTTGAGTCATCCTGTATATGCAAATTCAAAAAATATGAACGGAGTGATAGATCACAAGTACAGACTCATCATATTTTGTACATTTTGGATAGGATTTATTCAGCAAAATTTTGTGGTGACGTCATAATTTTTTTAGGGGGGATAACCAAATATATTTTGACTAAAGATTTATGATGCTCCTTATAGCCTTAAAACATCCGCAACATTCCAAAGCATTCGGGTTAGCAGATTTAAAATTAAATTGCAAAATGTTGTTTTATAATTTTGATTTTTTTTTCGGACGTTTCGGGTAAAAACTCGATTCGGAGTCGTAAACTACATGTGTAGGACTATGTAATTTTATGCAATTTAAAACCCATTTACTATGTACAATTTTGAAGTGACGTCATCGCATTAATGGTGGAGATGATTAAACAAATTTTGGTTAGCGTTTTACCATCTACATGATATTCCTAATATAAGTACCTACAGAATTTCGCAACAAACGGTCCAGTACTTTCGGAGATTATCTGTCTAATAAAAATCCGGGACGGCAGACAGACGGACAAACGGACAGATGCACAGACGGACAGACAGACGGAAATGGGAGACCTATTTCTTCGTCTTCTAGGGGTCATGAAAGATCGAGAAAACGTAAAAGTAGAGAGTCGGCCGACGGACTCGATTACAATACTTCCTTTGCTTACGCTCGGGAAGTAAAAAATACAAGAATTGAACATATTTAAAAAGGAGCTGTGCAAAATGTTAGTGCAACTAGAGCCACTTGGACAAATTTGTAATTGTAAATAATTAAAATAACTTAGCATTTAAGTCAAAATCTGTGTTTTATATGTACTTATCATTTCGTTTGTTAATTGTCTTATAAAAATGTCTGCGTTATATACAGGGTTAGTCACGAGAGAATTACTTCTGAAAATTATTTTTACGCAACCCAAAATACTAATACAATGTACCACTTGATATTATCTAAATTTAAAATAAAATGCCTAATCCATGATTGCTTTGACTTTGGCAGTGTCACTTTGACGTTAATTAATTTTTAACATTTTTTTTTCATCGTTGACTCGCCTCTAGAGCCCCATTGGATCGACGACATACAGTCAGATCAATCTGGGCTATACTGAAGCCGTAAGTGCTCGACCAATGTTGTTTGCCGCTAATGTACATGTGTTAATTCGCCATCTCTGCGTCACCTAGACCCTCTTTGAAGTGCAAATCTGCAACCTCTAGACTTCTTCGGCCACCCATTTACAAAAAAGCCGTAGCATCCCTCCAAAATGCCCAACATTTTCAACAGATTAGTAGTTAAATTATTTACTTACTTGTTTGAGTTTGTGTTGTAACCTTTGAATAAAATGCCGTAAAAGGAATTTTTAGAAATAATTTTCTCGTGATTAATCGGTTGCAAAAGATCAAGACAAATTTATTAGCGGCGCCAGAGGAGATTTCCGACTGGATGCGGTACCACCATGGACACTCGCGTAACCTCCTTTTCCACAATTGTCAAAATGAGATTGCCAAACTCAAAGCAATCATGGATTAAGCATTTCATTTTAAATTCAGTTAGTATCAAATGGTACATGGTATTCGTATTTTGGGTTGCGTAAAAATAATTTTCAGAAGTAATTCTCTCGTGACTAACCCTGTATACTGCAAATTATACTTTGTCTTGTATGTTTATCGATGTTATTTTATTGTTATTTATTTATTTTATTTGACGTTTCTTGCCCTGTTTTATGTAATGTACCTGTGCAAGAATAGAGATATTCTATTCTATTCTATTTAAACCAGTTTGGCAAAACTCGTAAAACTTGACTTTTATACACTTGGCACGTAACCCACTGTTATAGTAAACCTAATACATAAATGTTTTGTTGTTTGTAGTTTATTTAAATAAAATGTTCCACCTCTAAATTTATAAATTTTTTCTTGAAGATAAAAATTAGTTGTATAATGAATTTCATTACACCATTAGTGAAATAATATTGAAAATTACATACCTGAAATAGCCGTCATAATAAGTGATCATCATGTAGGTAGTAGATAAATGAAATTAATTTTGTTTTTACAGAAAATCGAGGAATTGTCCCTCCTGTAATACTACACCATTCTGGAATGGTTGTTGTAGCACAAGACGAAGGTGCTGCGCTTATATGCATTGCACAAGGATGTCCACCGCCAGAATATAGGTAACTAAACATTTTATGTACGTAAATGTAGGATATTTCTGAAGAGAAGGTATTTGTTGAGAGCCAGTACTGGGGGGTACGTGTTTTTATTCTCCCCACCCTCAACGGGAAGTCTGGCCATCACCCGCCTAGGAGTCCACCTGTAGCTTTCGGGAAATAAACATCTCTAATCTGTAACGACAATCCGCTGGTTCTGTTATCAGTCATCCTACCTGTTTCAAAGTATATAATTCAAATATCAATTCACCGGACGCGTTCGAAATCCGTATCATTCCTTTTATTAAATCCAAGAATACATTTATCGTCGAACGAGTTCGAAACATTGGTCCTTCGAGCCGGATCAGCGGCAAGTGAGAACAGTGAGTTTTAATCAAAAGTGCCATTCAACGCCTGGTCATCTACTCGCCCCTCGTGAGGTTAAGATCAGGAATTCCGGGAGCAAAGGTAGGCTTCAATTCTTTTCTTTATCGGTGTGCGTTTCTCTTTGTGCGTAAGATGATGATTATTAAACAAATTAAACGCTCATCAAAATTTTATACTTGAAGAAACCAACCATTATAAAATCAATCTAATCAAGCATCGTTTGCAAGACGTTGAGCGCTTAAGATCGCAATTCGAAGATATTGCATCATACTTCGGTACGGAGTCTGTAATTATTGCCCCCGATAGCGATGGCGACGACAGCGGTGAAAACGAGTCTGATGCAAGGGTCGAGTATCAATTCGGGGACATACGAGAACAAATATTCGAGGTGTTGGCTTTATGTGATGACGTAATAGAAAAGGCAGGCATTCAATCTTCTAGTAGCTCATCTACCGCATCTAATATTTCTAATGTTAATGTAAAATTGCCGACCATTGAACTGCCAACATTCAGTGGAAATTATATAGAATTCGCATCATCTTTTGATACTTTTAAGAGTTTGATAGGCGATAACGATTCGTTAAGCAATTCCCAAAAATTGCATTATTTAAAAGCTTGTCTAAAGGACGAACCAAAGAAAACGCTTGAGTCATTGAAAACAGATAATGCTAATTATCCTATTGCGCTCAATTTATTAAAACAGCGATACGAAAACAAGCGTTTTCTAATTAACAATCATCTCAAAAACATTTTCAACTTTCCCCAGATAAATAAATCGGACTCCAAATCCTTGAGAGACCTTTTGGATCAGCTTAACATTAATTTAAGCACTCTTAAAGTTTTAAATCGTCCTGTAAATCATTGGAGTGATCTTATTATTTATATTATCGTATCTAAACTTGACCACCTTTCTAGTTCGACATGGGAGGAGTCGATTGAGCTTAACACGCTTCCATCTCACGATGATTTAATTTCATTTTTAGAAAGACGTTGTAATACTCTAGAATCTATTAGCATTCAGAAAATAAATAAGGAATTCAAATCTATTTCTCCCCATAAATATATCAATAATGCTCCATTCAAAAGACGCGTGTTTCATACTTCATCATCTCAAGTTCCAGTTTGTAAAAACTCTCCTCCATGCTTCATTTTCGAAAAAATCCATAGTATTTTTAAGTGCGCAGATTCTAAAATTAACGCCTCATGAAAGGCTGCAACATATCAAATCGACTAATCGTTGCAGTAGTTGCTTTAGGGAAAGTCATTTCACTAAGAATTGCACTATTTCGGATTCCAGGCAATGCAATAAAAAGCACCATACCCTTTTACATATTGAACCTTTAACAACTAATAACCTCAGCACGAATGAAATGACAAATAACAGTGTTGAACCCAGTTTTGATAATCCTGGTGAAGGCACATCTCATTGTAACCTAGCAATTTCAAACAATGTGCTTTTATTCACCGCGTTGATACATGTCAGAGGACCCACCGGAATTATCAAAGACTGCCGGGCCTTACTTGACGTAGGAAGCCAATCACATTTCATGACCGAGCCTTTGTGTAAAATGCTTAAATTAAATATCAATTCTGTAAACATGTCTATATCCGGTATAAATAGCCAATCTAAAATAACAAAATCTGCGGAGGTTAAGATAAACACCAATTTCCATGCAAAAATTAGATACCTAATAGTACCCAAAATCGCAGAAAACCTGCCTTGTTATAGTGTTGTCATCAACGATTTAAAAATACCTCAAAATTTACAGCTTGCCGATCCAACTTTTCACATATCAGCTCCAATCAATTTATTAATTGGGGCAGAATTGTTTTTAAAGTTGTTAGCGGATGGAAATATAAGTTTAGGAAAAAATCAACCAGTTCTTCAAAGCAGTGTATTAGGTTGGATTTTAGGCGGGTCTATCGGTCAAGTTAAAGAAAATCATTCGCATGGTTATAAAATCTCCTTAGACACAAGCACTACCCGTTTCTGGGAATTAGAAAGTGTAGAGCCGGTAAGTGTACCCGCAATAAACAAAAATTCCTCGAAGGATATTTGTGAAGCGCATTTTAATGAGACTACGACCAGATCCGCAGATGGTCGTTTCATTGTTAAACTTCTGTTTACTCATTATCCCCCAAATTTAGGAAATTTCAAGGATACAGCAACTAGGCGGCTGTTATCAATAGAACGGAAGAGATCTAAAGACCATAACTTAAATGAGGCTTACCTCTCCTTTATGAACGAATATTTACGACTAGGGCACATGGAAATAGCAAGGGACGATTTATCCCAATCCTTTTACTTGTCGCATAGTTGTGTGCTAAACGAAAACAGCTGTTCCACGAGACATCGGGTCGTTTTTGACGGTTCATCAAAATCTTCAAACAGTTTCAGTCTAAATGATAATTTAAGAGCCGGTCCAGTTTTACAACCAGATCTATTCACAGTCGTTCTACAGTTTCGTATTTTTCAATTTGTAATTACAGCCGATATTTCTAAAATGTGTCGGGGCATTTGGGTTCATCCAGATCATTGCGATTTTCAAAAAATTTTATGGAGAGAATCTCCGGACATGCCGATTCAAAAATACCGTTAAAAACGGTAACTTACGGGTTAACCTCGTCGTCCTATCAAGCAATAAGATGCCTTCAACAATTAGGCATAGAAAATGAAAAATCTCATCCCTTGGCATACAACGCAATAATGAACTGTTTCTATGTTGACGACGTATTATTTGGAGCCAATTCCACTACCGAGCTTAAAGAAATTGCGAATCAATTAAAAACCGTTTTAGCCCAAGGGGGTTTTCAACTTAGTAAGTGGTGTGCAAATTGTCCAGAAGTCCTAAATGAGACACATAACTTACAACCACTAACTGCATAGTTAATGATAAACAAACCGAAAATAAAACGTTAGGTATTAGGTGGGACAATAAAAAAGATCTTTTCTCATACACCAAATTTCAATTCTTCAACAGTAAACCGAGTAAACGTTCAATAGTAAGTGCGATTTCTCAATTGTTTGACCCGTTGGGATTAATTAATCCAATTATAACCAAAGCCAAACTAATTATGCAGAAATTATGGTCCCTAAAAATCGACTGGGACGAGCCAATTCCAGATAGTATTCATCGCATGTGGGGTTCTTTTGTGCGTGAACTCTCCAACTTAGATAAAATTTGTTTTCCAAGGTCAGTGATCTGCCGTGATGCCATAAAACTAGAAATACATGGATTTTGCGATAGTTCCGAGCAAGCTTACGGTGCCGCAATTTTTATTTGTTTATTTATTGATACGCAATTAAATGTCTGTGTTAATTTGGTTTGTGCAAAGTCTCGAGTAGCCCTTTTAAAAACAGTCACCTTGCCAAGACTTGAATTATGCGGGGCACTTCTATTGGCTCAATTAATGGAAAAGGTATCAAATATTATAAAGGTCGCACCTGACCAACACTATTGTTGGACAGATTCTAAAATAGTTCTATCATGGATAGCAGCTGATGATTGGAAAACTTTTGTAGCTAACCGGGTTTCTGAGATACAACGGTTAACAAATTATTGCAGTTGGAACCATGTAAAGGGGAGTGATAATCCTGCTGACGTAATCACCCGGGGAATGTATCCAAGCGAGCTTGACAAAAACCCACTCCCATCGTGGTTGCGCCAACTCGAATTCTGACAGGTCTGACAATCAAGGGGAAGAATTGTTAGAAAAACGCGTTATTTTGGCAGTTAGTACTCAGCAGAATCAATGTAAATTTAGTATTTTGAACCACTACTCCACCCTTTCGAAACTCAAAACCGCTGTAGCGTGTTGGTTACGCGTTATGAAAAACCTTTACAACAAAGTTAAAAAACAGCCTGAAGTCAGAGGCAGTTTAACATTGGAAGAACTAAAGGACTCCGAAACGGTAATAATTCGCTTAATTCAGAAAGAGTGATTTTCTTCCGAAATCCAGCAGTTGGCGCATAATAAAAAACTGTTTAATGGTAACATTTTGTCTCTTAATCCTTTTTTAGATTCTGATTATATACTCGGGGTGGGGGGTAGACTAAGTAATGCCCAAAGTTTATCAATTAACCAAAGATGTCCCATTCTTTTACCCAAGCACCACGTCACTGAATTAATAATAAGTGAAACGCATCAGAGGCTACTGCACGCAGGCCAGTTAGGTACTTTTGGCAGACGTCAGATTCGCAAAGTAATTGGGAAGTGTGTAAGGTGTTACAAAACCGATCCTAAACCATTTTCTCAAATCATGGGAAATCTTCCGGAAGAAAGAATTATTCCCGCTCGACCCTTTTCCAAAGTCGGTGTTGATTTTGGTGGTCCCTTGTTGATTAATGAAGGCCGCGAAAGGGGGAAAAGAACCACAAAATCATACATTTGCCTTTTTATTTGTTTATGCACAAAAGCTATACACATCGAACTAGTGGGCGACCTTACATCAGATTCGTTCATCAACACTCTAAAACGATTGATATCTCGTCGCGGAAATATTTCTTACATTTTAAGCGACAACGCTACAAACTTTGTAAGTGCTAAAAAAGAACTTATGCAGTTATTGTCAAGTAAAGATTTTCAAAACAAGTTAGCACGCGAAACCATCATTTGGAAATTTATTCCGACCCGTG